CCCTTGGGGTCTCCTTCTGCTGTGCATGCTTTAATGCTGTGGTCACTGTGGGAAGCTTCTGTTCCAGGTTGGTGTGGGACAGCATGCAAGGTGACCTTCTTTGAAGGTGATAATCAGGGAGCAGGGCAAAATTCCCCTTTGCCAAACCCCCACTCCCAGAGCTCAATAGGGAGATATGAAATATTTCTTATCTCACTGTTCTGTCTAACTACCCCAACCTCGACCTTTTCTCCTAGGACTGGAAAAGCAGAGGGTATTTCATTGTTTTCTTTCTTTGAATCATACATCCTCTATGGCAATAGAGTAAATCTGGATCTTATAGTCATATAGGGCCTCTACCCCTCTATCTCAAAGGCATTTTCTCTGAGCTCCTCAGTTTTGGTTGTTAAAAGTCTAGTTAAAGAAATTTAGCCATCCCTCTAATTGTCTGACTTCTGAAGTAGGTATCTTCGGCATAATTGGATTTCAAATATCAATCTGAATATTTATGATGTGACTTTATTTTACTTTCCTTGGAAACAAATCCCAATTCACTTCAAGGCTATAAAATCAGATGCTGTAGAAATTAAAAGTAAAATACTTTTTATTGTGTTTCTTAATACTTTCTTCCATTCTCAGAAGCCTCAAGACCGGTGTTAGGGATGTTGGTTGTTAGGCCAAACCTATTTACCTTAGCACCTGTCAAGAAAGCAAAGGTTAGACTCTAAGCTTATATGTTCTTCATGCTAATATGTCTGTTCTTCCTTATTTCTCTTAAATTATTAGTGAGAAAATTTCAGAGCTCTTCTTCTGAAATCTAACGATCATCTGTTGTGAAGATCATTAACCATCATTCTTTCCAGCATATACTGAATTCCCAAACTGTTGTGTTTTCCTCTAACCTCAGCACCTAGGCAGAAATTTTTCTGTATGATACATACTTAGAAACTGAGCATGTTAATTTCTGCTACTATCTACAAAGGTGCAATACTCAGGTCAGAGCTGCTGAGGGATTGGCATCTATGGCTTTGAAGCCATGGGTGGTATCTAACCCAAGTGCCATTGGCTGGCTAGCTCTTATGCTTGGCTGCCCTTCTGTGTCAGGGCTGTCTGCCTCCCTCTCTTCAGTGGCTTGATCCAGGAACAAGTCAAACTCCTACTATTCAGGCTTTCTGTCTGTGCTTCCTGTAAATCCCTTTCAGGGGAATTTTCTTGCAATTAGTTTTGAGAGTAAAGGGGATTTGTATTATCATGGCCACTCCTATGTCAGCCAAGTGCTGTCACAGATGGTCCACGCTGTTGTTTCTCCAGCAGAGCCCCTGTTGGAGACTGAATTGTGTCTCTCATAAGACCATATGCTGAACCCAGTATGATATATAACTGTATTTGGAGATAAGATCATGGCTAAATGGCAGTATGTAGGCTGGATTGAATCCAATGACTACTGTCCTTATTAAGAACAGAGATACTAGGGATTTGTATACACAGAGGAAAGATCCTCCAAGCCAAAGAGAGAGGCATTAGGAAAAACCAACACTGGCAGCACCTTGATCTTGAACTCCCAAACTGTGAGAATATAAGTTTCTGGTATTTAAGCACCCTGTCTGTGTTATTTTATGATAGTTCTAGGAAACTCATACAGAATGCTGTTACCAATGTATGAATCACATTAAGAGACTGTGCCCCTTTGTGATCAGAGTCATTCTGTGACTTTGATGTCCTCTTCAAGCCTTTCTGTAAGAGCTAAGGAGTTGAGTTCCTGTCCTTATCAAGGTTAGGGAGATATGACAACACTCATAATTAGGCATTTGGGAAAGGATTGAGGACTGGCAGGATTGACTCAACATTCTGCATTTTGGAAATTGTGCCTGACTCTGGGCTTGGTCTCAGATTAGGTTCTCTTCTAATCCTCCAAGACCAGCACCTAATAGGCATTCCAGAAGAAAAACTGAGCCTATAAGTTTGTGTCTAGAGAAAAGAAGGTATACAGAGAATTTCAGAAAATGCCTGAGAGAAGGAAAGCCTTCAGATAGGGTAAAAACACAGGAGATCACCCAGACATGTCTGTGGGATTCCTTGGCATCTGTACAATCCTCTGAGTGTATCTTTGGTCTTTGGTCACTCTGGGTTGCAGAGGTCCAGCTCTCACCTTCTATCAGTGATGCAGAGTTCAGCTAATTTCCTAGCTGTTCACCAATCTGAAATAAACCACACTGTTCCTAACTTCAAAGTTCATCTAGAAGACAGTGTTCTTGATCTCCTGCCCACGGCAACATGCAAGCCACATCTGAGGCTTATCAGTAGTTGACCTTTACCGGGCCATTCCTTCAGCCACTCCCACTGCCAGTTCTTTTCCCTTTGCCCACCAGAGCATTACCTATAAGCCCTGGCCTGATGCCCTTCCTGACAGGTGACCTCTGAGAGTGAATGCTGTAGGTGGAAGCATCTGAAATCAACTCTGGTGGGGGGCGGGTCTGTGTGGTTCCTGAGCCCTCCAAATACCAAGTTTTGATGATCTTACCTCAGTTATGTGCTTTGTGTTTTGGCGTGGACAGTACAGATGACACAGCACTCAGGTCACTTTTGCTTGGGGAAATATAAATAATGAATTCCTTAGATTATATTTCACAACCCCAGGACAACCTTGTAACAAATCTGTGTCAACTTGAGGTCAACATTATCACTCTCATAGGCTTTATGTTTAGGTTTTCTTGGGAGGAAGTCGTACCATAGAGCTATAACATCTGGCCTTCTTCTCCTTTGGAATTGCTGACCTGCTGTGGGAAAGCATGAGTAGAGCATTTGCTATAACTGCTCTCTGGGAGCAGCTTGTAGGAACTCTGCATCCCTATACATGACCTTCCTAAATGTGGTGTTCATTGCTAGATGGGGGCCTGGGAAGCAGGTGGTCAGTGTGTCGGAACAGCTTGAGGGAATGGGCCCAGGGCAAAGTCTTTTATCCTGAGACACAGATTTTGGTGACTCAATCAAGATAAAGCTGCAGGAGAGGGGGTCATGGAGACTCCCATCAGAGGAGTCTCTGAAGGAGTTAGTTGTTACTACTTTGGGTCTTCCCACAATGCTCACTTCATCAAATTCAATAAGTTAAGCTACTATGCCAGGTATATGGTAGGAGATGTATGTTTTTTGTGTGTCAAATAGACTACATGGCTTCTATGTCCAGTTCCTTCATTTTATACACATGGTAGAATCGCATCTTTCATGGAATCCTCAAGGCTTCCCAAAGCTGGAAAGTTTGTAGGACAATTAAGATAAACAAAATGGAGCTTGATTAGAAGGCTAACTTGGGTCAGCCTTGTAGGAGGAGATAGAATATCCAAGGTTTGCAGATGGGATCCAGGCAGGCAAGACAGTTTCCTGAGGATCTGAGGCAGGACTAAGTGTCAGAATACCTAGTTGTCCGGGCTCCATTTCCTCTGTAGGCTTGGGAATGAGGCAGGTTAGATGTCATGGAGAATTGTGACCATGCTGGTCACACACTTCCTTTTTCTCTCCTGTGTGGAGGCCCTGTCAGTCTGGCTTTATCCTATCAATCCATCTCTAACTTCTTATGGACTCACTGGAACATAATGGTTTTGCTCTTAAGGTCTTCTCCTTGATCTTACTAAGTGCAAGACACTTTGGTTTGATTTTCAGCTGCTTCCCCAGAGGAGCAAAATAATAAAAATATTGGGCTTCCACAAAGGAGCCTAATGTGGCCTCAAATCCATACCTTCCCTTCCTTCTATAGGGGTAGGGGTGGGTACAGGTGGTGTCCCTGGGAAGAATGGGAGCAGGATATGAAGGTATGTCCCACAAAACTGGGTCTAGGAAAGAACGGGGAAAATGCCAAGACTTTGTATAGGTCCATGGATGGAGCGGAGAAGGTTATAGACTTTGGGCCCAGGAGGTGACTTGGGAGGGTCAGAAAAGTTTCTGAGTCTCAGATACCAGAGGTGGGGAGGAAAGGGCAGATTGGGGCAGAGAGGTAGCCTCAGATGCTTCCGGGATTTCTATGCTCATGGAGCTGCTGCTTCAGTCAGGGTGTTAAAAGGCTCAGCAGTTGGCTGAAACTGTGGAGGAGCCCAGATGGCAGGTCTGGGCATCAGGTTTTCACAGGGTTCTTCCCAACAACTGGCTCCTGTGTTTCCTACCAATTCTAGGTGTCACCTTCTAGGAGAAACAGTGGTTTAGGTGGGACAAATTCTAAAATAATCAAGTACAAAAATCAGAATAATATATAGTACAATGTGAACCACAACAATTTAACATGAATTCATGAAACATGTAAAGAAATAATATTGGATACAATTATGGATACAATGTACTCACATTGTTTTTCTTCACAAATAGGGACACAAAGGAGATTTTTATTTGCTCCTTACTAAACTTGATATTTTTCTGATACTCTGGGGAAAGAAATATCGCTTGGACAAATTTTAGGAGAAAGGCTCAAGCTGGGTGGAGTTTGGGATTCCACCCATATGTTTAATCACTGAGCACCCAGGTTCTGGTGCAGGAGCATCTTCCTGGACTGGGATGAGGGCTTCTTTGCTGGAAGACATGAACTTGATGCTCTTAGCTCAAATCATCTGGGACTATGTCCATAGATTACTGTCTATTTCTCACACATTCCAAGTGCAAAACTCATGAAGATGTTCCCCTGAACTGCATGGGAATTGCTTCCTTGACAATGGTATTTAAATTCTAGATCCAAGTCAGACTGTGAGGCCTTCTAATTACAGTTAGATCTTGTTAGTGAAACTGTCTCTTCCAGGAAGAAGAGAGAGAGAGAGAACCATTTTTATTTTTATTTTGTAGAGAATGCCCTTAATTATCCATTCCCTTTCTCACCATTGTCATAATGAGGCTGAGTTGAGCCCACCTGGGTACCTTTCTGTAGGCTGTAAATCCTGTGGTATACTGGGAAGAGAATACCCCAATGAATCAGATAGATGTACATCCTTGTTACTGTGGCAAAAATACATAAACTCTAGAAACCCTTGCTCTGCACTGTTAAGATGAGGTCAGTTATTTCTACATGCACAGAATTTAGATATCAGGTGAGTAACAAACATCCAGAAGAATAGTAAAACCAAGTAAGACCTTATTAAATATTTGTTCCTTTTTCCCCCATTAAACATATGTGAATTCACAAAGTCTTAATAACTACCTAAGATGTATCTGTGATAGTCCTTGCCTTTCATCTATTAGGTCATAGAGGCACAGAGAGGCTCAGTACCTTGTTTGAGGTCATACAGGAGGTAAGTACCAGTCTTCGGCTTCTCTCTCACATGTGTATGGGGAACCTTCATTATAGGAGAGATTGTGCATTGTTGTCACATGTGCCTGGTACTGGCAATGAGCCCACTCAGATAAATAGGTTTCACACTCATTCCCTGCCACAGGGGAAGCTGTCACTGCCATTGCCTGTTTGCTCTGTAAAGATTACCAACTGTAAACTTAAGACTGGGAATTTCATTCCATAGGCTTGGAATTAGGGACAGTCAGTATAAAGACTTCCACCATTCCCTTAAACCGTACAGGTTACCAGCCTCTGATCATGCCATTAATCTTTTCATAAAATATTTCTGATGATGCAGGATAGGAATCTAGGCCTTGAGGAGGAAGAGTAGATTCAAGACCTGAAACTCTGGCATCCATGAAGCTTTCATCTCGTGAACAAGGAGAAACAAAATGGACATAAATGAGGAAAAGCTCTAGAATCACAAACTGGATAAGTACTTTGTAGAGAAATAGGAGGAAAGGCATAAGAGAAGTGTGATCAGGGAGTCGTGCTCTTTTATTTATATACTAGACAGGAGATACCCACGGGAAGGTGGCAGCTGACAGAATGAGGGATGGCAGAACTAAGGTAAAGGCAAAGAACTCAAGTGAGAAAGGTCCCTACTAGTCCTCCCTAACTTCCCTTCCATAGCTGGCATTATTGTCAAGAGCTTCACCTCCTGTCAGATCACCAGGGACATTAGCTTCTGTAGGAGCAGGAACCCTTCTGCTAACTGTGTATTTCAGGATCTGAATTCCTTGCTTTTAATGAGAATCTAATCTTGAAGCACTATCCCTTATCCTTGCCAACTCATACCATCACCCAAACTCATCACCATCATGGAAAAATTGCCTTCTAACAAACTCGACCCTGACACCAAAAACATTGGAGGCTACTGATTTAGGGTCTTTGTTGCCTTAAAAAATTAATGAATTAAGCTCAGGAGAAGCTTGCATGGTATTCATCCCCCCCTCTTGTCTTAGATTGTTTTGTCTCCTTAGTGAGGGATCAAGCACTCAGACAACCTCAGGTGGAATTTTAGGCACCAATCTGGTGTCATGCTCTATGAAGAATGTGGTCTCATGGAGGTCATGTGGAGAGTGGCCCAGAGGGCTGTGCTATCGAAGGAAACTGAGTGACTCACTCACAGTACTTTGCTACCCATTTTATCATACCTGAAAAGATGTCATGGGCATGTGAATTTATACATTTCATGTAGATCAACAAACAGTGAAGAGAACAGAGACCGTGCACCAATGTAAATTAGTAACTTAGGAGAGATCTCAGAAAATGAAATGAGGTATCTGGGTGGGCTGAGTTCCAAGTAGCTGGAGGAGTGAAAAAACAGACAGGATGTACCCTCTTCTGGGAACACTGCAGAGAGGATTCAGGTGTTTTGATCTGAGGTTGATGATTCTGTGATTCCACTGGGATGCCTGAGGGCAGGGGATAGAAATAAATAAATCTGGAACCTCCTATGAGGACCTTCCCAGGAATGAAACCCAGGATGTTTAGGTCGCTTCTGCTGGGAATAGTCATGGTGCTGTTCGAGGTTGAGGGTAAAGACTGGAGAGGGAGGCAAGAGGGTGCTGGAAGAATGTATACAGAGGAAGGAAGGTGTTTATGCACTTGGCTTTTGGTGCTACTGTAAAATGATTTAAAAATAATTTTTCTTTTCTTTTTTACAGGTGTCAAATTTTTGACGACAAAATGTATGGTTCATTTGGTTTGCGGTTCTGGGATAAATAATGTTACAACGAGAAGGGGCATTCTTGAATTATTTAAACATTGACCTATTCTCTTCACTCACTACTCCAGGGTCTTCTTTCTGCCCTCAGCCATGGGGGGGGGGGGGAGTCCTTAATTTTTAGAGGGAGTCATAGGTGTTTGCTGATGGAGGGACTAAAGCTGGGCTGGCACCAACATCCTTTTTGTGATGTTTGCACCACCCTAGCCTTCTGAAGCAGAATCACTTTCCTTAGAGTTCTTTGGTAAAGATTTCTTTTTTTCTTCAGGGCTTCGATACTGTCATGAATGTAAGCACTTTGATGGAGACATATGCCAGACTGGCATGAAAAGCTGCTGGAAGTTTAATGTGTTGATGTATAACAAGAGTTGTTCCACAGAGAACTTTTACTTTTATGATCGCAATACGGGTAAGTGAGAGTTAGAGAAATACACAGAGTATCACCAGTGGTGAGCACAATCCCTGGAGCTGAGGTACAGAGAGAAACTGGGGTCATGGAAGAAGGTGGGGGTGTGGGTTCTCCAGACACAAACCTGCGTGTGGGTTGTGTGGAGGCAGATGTATCTCGGCTGCTCATGATTAGAGAGACACAGACGACATCTACAGCCTTGGGACTCATTGTAGTCTCCAGACAATGATGAGGTCCTGGGGTGAAAATACTGCCACGGAGTTGTTGAGATGAGGCAGTCTGAACACGTCTGCCTTTCTCTCTTTAGGGAGATACCTGTTTCGTTACACAGTACTGTCCTGCAGGCCTTGTGCGGCAGGAATTGTCCAAGTATTCCACGACCTTCTGAGCGAAACATTTTGCTGCACTGAAGACAACTTCTGTAATGACGGCAGTGCTAACTTTGACATAGGAAGCGTAACACTTGGTGAAACAGAAACAGAATAATAAGGAAATAGTTAAGATTTGAAAATGTCTCCCTGTAGTCTTGGCTCTTTCTCTATCCACTGACAGTTTGCATTTTCCCCAAACCTACCCCAATCTCTTCTTTATTCCAATAGACCTAACAGTGGAAGTTCAGTCTTTCCTGTGTTCGTGCTTCTATTAATGAAAAAGGGGAAAGTCATAGGTCACAAATATCTCAACTCTGCCTTCTGATTGAATCGCCAAGATTTTTCTACCTGATTCCTCCATAGTTCCCACTTGCCCTTAGGTTCTGATGCTGAACCTGGGTGAAAGACAAAAATTCTAAAATCTCTTGCACAGGGAATAAGATATTTTTCCATTGAGCTCCAAAAGGAAGATCATCAGAAAGGAGACATTATACAGATAAGGACAAGACATTACAGGAGATCTTAGGAGAAATATCTGGGAGGGGAGTGGATAAGGTATTTGATGACAGGTGGTATAGGGAAGGCTTTAGTTAAGCAGGAGCTTGGGAATGTCAATATGAAATTAAAACTTATGACAGTCATTGTATTTGACAAGCAAGTCATAGTGCCTGCTATCACTTTTTGGAAACCACTGGCCAAGGCTCTTCTGACAGCACAGACATATGCTAGTTTGTTTTCACTCATCTCAGTTTGCTCTCATAGCCAAAGCCAGATATATCAGGGTGAGGATTTCCTTGATTGTTGGCCAGTTATTCCATCGGTTGGGTGTAAGGGATATTTTCCTTGGAAATATTGAAATATTACCATACATTTAATGCAGCACCCATTTATGAAAGCTGATTTTTAAAAATCTATTTGTGCAGCCCTACAACAAAAAGTGTAATAAAATGATGAGTTTCAGAATTTCCCAATAGTCCTTTTAACAATGTTAACAAGCCATGAAATTACAAACACCAGTAATTCTTGACTCCTTTTACATGTAATTTTTTTGCCATCTTAATCTTCTTAGG